AAATGATTCCATATGACAAGGGCCATGTGCATGTGCAGTGTTCATTTTGGCAGCTATTTTTGATTTAGTCTTAGTCTTTAGACGAAAATGGTTATTAGTTTTAGTCACATTTTAGTCCTTTTTATCCTTCATAGTTTTTAGTCGATGAAAAATCATTACATTTTAGTCAACTTTTAGTCAAAATGTTTTCTCTCTTTAAATCAATTCACCAATTCAGCAAATACAGGTATCTGAAATTGGAATCAAGGTGACGGTATCAAGTGTTGAAATTCGTAAAGCAACATTTCACTCTCTTAACACTTTACTTGTGTGTAATATCTAGGGATGGGTATCATTAAGGTTTTTAACGGTACTACTACTCTTAAAAATCTGTGTGCACGCCGCTGCAGCGTGTCTGTTAGGCCCCGCCCCCCGCACACAGAGAGACACAGGGAGATTGCTCTTCTGGAGTGAAGAGAGCGGAAATAATGATATTGCAAGTTGGCAACGTAAGATGCATTTTGACAGACAAGGCGGAAAATTGGGGGAAAATACCCTGCATTTTGCATGTCCGATAGTCCACCATTAACACCTCAGTCCCGTCTCGTCAACGAAAACTAAATATACATTTCGTCATAGTTTTTATTATCAAGAATCTATTTTTAGCTCGTCATCGTCTCGTCTTAGTCATGTAAAAAAGGTCATTGACATTTTTCGTCATAGTTTTTGTTGACGAAATGAACACTGGCCATGTGAATACTGAATGAGGGCATAGAAACTGTGTCTGTGTGTCTGTGTGTGTGTGTGTGTGGTCAATTGAAATGTATGTGATACAGACTAAACAAAGCTGGCGGAAGTTTGGGTATAAAGCTCCGTACTGCACTACAACATCTAACCACAACACAGTGACCCCAAATGTTAGAGGCAAGATCCAGCAGACAAGAAGAAGTTCAGACACACTCACACACATATACACAAGCAAGAGCAACACCTATTCCTTGAGAAAGATTGCACACACCAACTAGTCTATAGTACTGTTTATTTAAGCAAGAGTATAATTCATCTCAACAGACTCATTCACTGCAAATGAATCAAATGTCCCTTAACTAGCCAATCTGTACCACAGACTGCATACACGGAGACATGCATCCCTTTACTATGAGTTTTATTCTGCATCACATTAGCAGATCCCCATCTCTCATCTTTCCTGAGGCCAGATGTGTGAAAATGCACCAGTTAATCATCACTGTTGTTGGTGCAGCAGAGATCCTTAATGCAAAGACGTTCCACTTGTAATTATCAATGTGTGTGGAAATTCAGAGAAATCTGAAGAAGAGCCCAGTATCTTAAAAAGGCAATTCCTGCAGGAATAAGGAATTGTGCAGCAGAGTCTGTTCGTCACCTCATAACTGGGTCAAACTTCACTTTCTGTCAGAGCATGGCTTGTTCCTAAATGAAGCTGCCAGGGATACAGAAAACAGAGATCAACACCACAAACACGTCACAGTATGACTCACGTCCATTGTGTGCTGATGAATCATAAACCCTAACTCTGGTCCCCATTTCATCTGTCAAAACGTTGTATTGTTATAAACCGGCAAAAGGCCACTTAGAAAATGAAACCGCTTACACGTCACTAAATAAATGACACCACAAGCACATGCCGACTCCAATTCCCCAAATTACCAGGAGCTTACAGTGTGATGATTAAATATCAAATGAATCAGCTTTCATTTGAATCATACAGGGAGACCAGCGGGCCAGGGGGAAATAATACTACCAATTTAATCCATTCAAGGCATCATAACTTAAAAAGGCTTGACAACTATTATCCTATTGTCAGTTTCTCAACATAAGCATCCATTCCTTACATTAGGGAAAGCCTTATAGTCTAAATTTAGCTCAACCTTGCGTGCCGACAGTACATCCTCTGGAGGCTTGACCGTAGATACGAGTGTGTCTGGGTGCATGTGCGCGTGAAAGTGGGAGTTTGTCTATCTCTCTGAGAACACAACACATTGGGCTTGCACATACAGACAAGCTGACACACACAGCTGTACACCTGAGAGTCGGCAGTGAAGGAAGAGACAGTCTTCACCGATAAATGTCCTTAAACGCATTCAGGCCTAGTTAGGGACAAAGGCTTTTTTCCTCCCCTTTAAATGCACAAATAGGCTTGAGCACTAGTTCCAAAAATGTTAGAATAAAAGGTGGGCAAATACCCAGACAAATCCTGACCGTAAATTAAAAATGTTCATGTGGGTTTCCTTGCACGCACACACACAGAACAGGAAGAATCCCGGGATGATTCTTCCAATCGTTCCTGGCTTGCTGAATGCCAACTGGCGGCTGAAGGGAGAAGTGGATCACATGGACAGACTCTCTTCCTCACAGTGCAGCCAAGAGGACATATTTGAGAAGGGGTGAGAGATGGATTCATCCCCTTGTACATCTCATGTCATCCACCGTTTGAGAATATCCAGAATCCAGTGAAGGAAAGCGAGGGAAAACACCCTGTTCCCGTTCGATTTTAGTGAATCATACACCAGCTCTCAGGAGAGAGAGAAGAAACGACACCACTTCTCATCTCCCTGCAGTGTAAGGTATAACAGCCCTCGATATCCAAGATTGCTCGCTTTTACAAGCTTGGCAACAGTCTCCGCGAGGACATGTCAACACACCGCCTACCAGCAACCTCCAACTAGATTTTTTATTTATTTAACGAAGCATCAAAAAGCCGCTGTCCTAGATAAATGTACCAACCATGAGATGACGCTCCAAAAACGCCTTTGAGAGAAGACTGAAGGTGTCATTTGAATACAGTCATCCCAGCACTATGGGATGACTAAGACTGCATTGGGGATGAAATTGGTCAAAATCCTGCAGAGTGTAAGCCCACCCTACGCAAACAGATAAACTGTGAGAAGTTGAGACATGAAGTATACAAAGTTGGAGGCTAAGCATACAGCAAATTACTAAAAAGGTTTTTGATATTCATTGCTATGTTAAAACATTCTTATCGAATGGCAAACTGAAGCAAAGACTGTGTTTGTTACAGAGCCATTTTGTTATTGTGATTTGATTGGATCACACTTAAAAAAAATGTATGGTGGCCAGCAGGAAGGAAGGCTGGGAAATGGCAATGAGTCTAGACTGCATAACAGATGCTTCCATATGGTTCTTTAACAAGGCACCAAGCAGTATGTCAAGTACATCTTTCCTATTGCAGCTATTTTCAGCAATCAGCAAGCATCACCCATTTCTAGTCAAATAAACTGCTCCCCAAACAATGACAAGAGTTACAAAGCTCAATAAAAGTTACACATGTCATACATTCCTTAGATTCAAGCTTCTGGTTAATCCAATTCTAATTCTCAGCGAGAGAAAAACACTCAATCTATGAAAGAGACCACAGAGCAGACAAAGTAAAACTGGACTTCGGCTGGTATGCAAAGTGAGGTCTAAATGCATACAGACTCAGACATATAAATCAAGTGCGACCACAACTAAACATACGTATAGTGTAAATGAATGCACAAGTCTAAATGTATATTTAGCATCACTGAGCATCAGTGTGAGCAGCAGCTCTGGTCCCTCTCAGTCATATGAACCCCAATGTCTGTCTCTATACACACACACTCACAGGCAGACACACACACACACTCACAGGCAGACACAGTTTCCCTTATCCTTTCTCTCTAGTAAAGGACAGACAGAGGATGTGTCTATAATCGGGAAAGACTCACATTTCCTCTCTGAGGTTTCACATTCCTGGGATTCCGTCTGAAGACCACTGCAGCCCATTTAAAACCATTCTCCATATGGAGGAGGAAAAAAGAGACTAGGGCAGGCAGGAAAGGTTTTTAAGCTATGGGAGTTAATTTATCTTTACAATATTACTCTTTAAACATTCTAGGTAAAGGTACCAGTGTGGTTTAATGTAGCATATAATGCAGAATTCATCAATCTCATGATGTTGTTTAACATACAAAAATATCATATAAAAGATAGAACACCTGTTATGCAATACGGTGGGAATTAAAAGTGAATAGCACTGTAGAGAGTCATACAATAATTATAGTGTGTCAGCTCCAAATACAGGTAATACAACAAATTAAAGTAAGACATTTTATGTTCTTCTTTTCTTCTGTTCAGCAGTTGCCCCATATGAACGCCATCACATTTCAAATGTGATGTGGCTGGAAATCTGGTCCCTGCATAAATCCATCCAACAAAGTAAAACTCAAAATGCTTCAAATGCCATTTCCCTGCTGTAAGACCACGTCTCCAGCCTATGCCTTGTTACAAAATGCCTTATTGTATAGTGCCATATCTATTCTAGGTTTTTCCACAATCCATTTGTATGGAGCTCATTGAAAGTAATCATCTAAAGGCCATTGGGAATGGCACCAATGTGCGATAAGATGTCGGCTTTTTCTTAGGTAGTAGTTGTAATTTGTGATTCCACGTCCACTAAAACCCAAAGCTTCACAGTCCGACCACTACCTTTTGAAATGTTCATGTAACATGAGCACACAGTAAACAATACTAAAGGATGATTAACGTAAGATGTTTTCAATGAAGATATGCATAACTCACTGTTAGAACATCGATTACTCTAAGACACTATATGAATAAATAAACATTAGCACCAATTTGCCTTAAGTATTTCATCTAAGCAAACCTATAAAAGAGCAATTAGTAAAGATGCCAAGTAACGGTAGCCAGCTATGTTAATGCAACATAAACAGCGATGTTGTCACAGCTAATATTTGCTAACGAGCTAGGCTCATTGGCTGTCTTTGGATGCTGCCAGGTAGAATAACGTGAGTATATGTAACATAAAAATGAAGAATAAAATAAACGTTAGATCAAAAATTATTTGAACATTTTAAAAATCACACACAAACGCGCCAGTGTCCATCGGTACCATGAGCAGATGTTAGCCTAGTTAGCTAGCAGGCTAACATGCTAAGGACTCCGAGCGGCAGCGGCACAGGAGGGGGTTTAAATGTGCTTACCTGTCAACCGCAGCTTCACTGGGCCATTTCTCCTAACTCCTTGGCTAGACATTCCCCTTTGTGTTCCAGCTTGATGAAAAAAAAAAAGCACAAAAAGCGTCTAGTTCATGTGTCAGCGTACGAGTTTCAAAAAGGTATCTCCCAAAACAATCCCTCTGCTAGCACGGGGTAGCTCGTATTATCACCATAGCAAATCTCTGTGTATGCAGCATAATGTATCATAATAACATCGCTGGAATTACAATATAATGTGAGTTCCTTTTCCGTAAAAAAATGCAACTATCTAATATCACCCAAAAAGCCGTTGAAGCGCAGAGCAAAGGGTGCTCATAAAAATCAAGAGGACAGTGTACCCTCCATCCAGACGGGCGTCCACTCTCTGCCCGGGCTGCTTTAACTGGAGCTGCTCGTGATGGTGAAGACTGCACACTGAGAGCACTTCCGGTACATTTCAAAATAAAAGTTTCATCAGATGTTCTTGATGTTATTACAACCAATAACAAAGGACATGTTCATAATAGTTACCAATATTAATATAATATATTAAATGTATACACTTGCCCTTTTTTCCGAAATAGATTGTCCATTTGTTACTTTCAGTAAATTAGCCAATGTGCATTGAGGAAGCTTTAGAAAAGGTGTATTTTCATACACCCACTACTGAAACATGTGATGCAAGTAAATTAAACCTGGTTGCCGTAGTTCAAATCTTACCTAAAGCATATTTATTATTTAATTTAACCTCATCTTGATAGTTTATGTAGTCAGACTTCCACTGCAATAATATCATATGGAGTATAGCTTTTCCCCCCTGACTACGGTATATATAAACTCTGAGTATACAGACTGAGTTACTATTAAGTGTGAGTTTAATTGGTTAATAGCAGTCATTTCCAAAAGTGGGCATCCCATTTGAGGAGGGTTTATGTATCCATTGTAAAGTATCTGTGACAGCTACAATAAGTGTTTTATAGAGATTTTGAATTTGTCATAAAGAATCATAAGGCCATTTTACATGGTGTCAGATTCAACAAATCAGCACTTGATGCCATTTTTCCTGACAGTAGATTGAATTCAGATCTACAGTAGGGGAAATATATTTAGCCAAGTCTGATTGTGCTCTTTCCCTTTAATTCATATATGATACAAGCCATCATGGCCATACAATGCAAGACATCCAACTGTTGAATGACAGATTTCATTCACAAAATATTTTAAATGTACTATAGAAACAGCCAGGCCCTTACAACAGTCTCACAAGTATAGAGAAAACCACAGTGTCACCTAGTGGTGAAATGCACACAGATCATTACCATCTATGCTTCTTCTTAAAGCCTTACCTACTTCACATTATTTAACCAACCACGTTTCCCTGTATCCGTGACATTCATCAAGAAAGAAAACATTTTGCATGAGCAACATTTATTTACAGATATTTTTTCAAAACGGGGATATTTTGTCTGTACTGTCACGTACAAAAATGAAATTTCTAAAAAAAAAAAAAATACAAAAATAACAAGTTCTGAATTTCTTTTTTTTTTTATGTTACAAAGGGAGAGCTGGACTTTTAAAACTTGAAAGTGCTTTGGTCCTCAGGGATCTGGAAGGTATAGGAGTCTGCAGTAGCCTCAGGAACCACAGAATCATCCTCTTCATTCTGAAAGACAGGAAGGACCAGAGGAGAGCAGCGTTAGAGGATTAACCAAGCATAGTTCCGAGCATCATTAAATGAATTAACATCGATTTGGTGGACTAGGACAATCTCTGTCAGCTACGAAAAGGTCTGTTGTGAATAGAGTAACATTAAAGACTGATCAACAGCAACACAATGTATTTTTAAAAAGGCATTTAGTCAGTGATTTCACCAGAAAAGTATAAAACCCATTGAAATATAATGACAAGTAACAAACTATCAATCTTTTATAATTCGTATGCGATTATGATCACATTAGCCATGATTTCTGCGTGGCTAGTCAGTTTTTAGAAAAGCTCACCTCTTCAGAGAAGTATTTGTCTATGATGTTGAGAGATGACTTGTACACAGCTTCGTTGTCATGGGTCTGCAGTGTCTCAATCTTGTCCAAACCACCCAACTCCTCGATCATTAGGCACAGTTTTTCAACCTCGCCAGCTTTGTATGCCATCTGGGGAGGAAGGGAAACATATCTGTAAGACTAATAGTTGCTAAGAGATGAAACTGTGGCCACTCTTTTTAATCTGTGACTATCAAGAGTCCAGCTGCTTCATTCTGAGATTAAATTCAGCAAATCTTCATGTTTCCTAATCTCAGAAACCCAGTGTCAAGTAGGGATGGGTAGCGAGCTCCGGTATTAAAGGGGCCCCGGGGCTGAATTAAAGACCGTGGTACCGTTAAACTCAGACGTTATCTGTCTTTTTATCGGTACTGGAGACATAAAAAAATATATATGTCATATGTATTATTGCTACATAAACATTATATTGCAGTTTTAGTTTCACCAACTCTGTTTCTGATATGCAATAAGACTACAAAATGTGTCTATGATGTATTTTCGATCTTTCCAATCCAGACGAAAAATAGGCCTATCTCTCTCCCCCGTCTGTGTGCGAGGGGGCGGGGCAGTTTACACACACGCAGCTGCTACATGCATGCAACACACACGGAGATGGCGGAGAGAACTAAGTGCTAAAAGGTGTGGTTAAACTTTACGTCTCGATGTGGACAATGCTCGTTGCCAAAAGTGCAATAAGAGTTTAGCATTTAAGGGTGGTAACACCAGCAATTTGTCTAAACATCTTGCAAAAGTGCACCACATTCAGACGGAGAAATGCACCGTTTTTGACTGTCTGTCTAGTAGCTCTGTAGCCCCATCCACGAGTAACGTTTCCACGTCAGGTATGTTATGTATACCTTAATCTTCCTCCAGAAGAACCGTTAGACCTTTTGCAGCATACCTGTATGCCCCACCTGTGTTGCTCTGTACCACTGTATTATTGCAGTAAATACTCGTTTTGTTTGTTTTTTACAGTTCTGTAAGTTCACATTATTTACAATTTGTTTAGTTAATTTCCCTTTTTTCTTCTTCAAAAGAACCGATAAGAGTACCGTTAAAGGACCGGATCGATAAAAGTACGACTACCGTTAAAACCTTACGATACCCATCCCTAGTGTTAAGTCTCCATTTCCTAGGGAGAAAATGTCTGTAAAAAGGGTTGATTAAAAAAGGCTAATTTCTCTTTGATGGAATTTAATCATTTAATTGTTTGCCGTTTAAGACAGTAGCCTGCCATCAGATCTTAATCCCTGGCTTCTGGCATCTTTAAAGTTTACATTTTGATGCATTTTTTTTGCCAAAACTTTTGCACAATTTAACTAGTTATCTTCCATTGCCGGAAAAAGATCTCTGCTTGTGTTTATGCAGTCTTATCTCATTTACTTCACATAAAGTATAACAGCCCAACATCTGCAAATCTCCAGATCATATTCTTCCTTTTTTTAAATCTTATATGACAAATGAATCTGAAGAAGTTAGATCCTAAATGAGTCTTCCTTATAATTAAATGTTTAAATTGAGATTCCAACAGTATGCTTTGGTGTTCTGTGTCTGCAGAACGTTATTGCTACACAATGACGCTTTCATCTTTCCAAAAAGAATTGTCGATACTGAATAATGGGATAAATTACCTATCATTTTATCAAGTAGTAATTCTGCACATGTTGATTTTCATACACGATACACTGAGATTAATCGTTGTGGTTAAACTCTACTCGACATGTAGCAGTGTTAATTGCAGCATTTTGATTGCACATCAAAAAACAAACTTGCTGTACTCCGATGCAATTATAGCAACATGGTCTTGAAAATATACCTGCAATATATTCTGAATTGCATCCAGGATGACCAAGAGTATTTTGCTGTCTTTGGCGGTCAGCAGGTTGAGCAGAGGCTCCAGGACATTGCATTGGACCAGGTAGGCCGCCTGCTCCATCGTCCCACCGCTGGTATAGTTGGTGACTGCCCACACTGCCTCCTTCTGAGTCTTGTAGTCTCCCTAAACAGAAATAACATGATATTTAAGGCCAGAGAAAAGCATAGACATTAATACAGATAGTAAAGAAACTAAATGACCATTCATGAATAAATGTGTTCCTTGTTTGGTATATTGTAACACCCAGATCTATTTTCTGTGTGCTGCTCTGACCTGTTGCAGGATCTCCACCAGCATGGGCATCAGGCCTGCATTGATGACCTCCTGGATCTGGGTGTCCTTCCCTGCAGTGATATTGGACAGGGTCCAGGCAGCCTCTTTCTGGATATTGGGCTTGTTGTGGCGCAGCAGGCCGGGGAACATGGCCAGAGCACCTGCATTCAGCACAAACTGAGTCTGCTCGTCTGTCCCGGTCACTATGTTGCCAAGTGACCGCAGGGCTGGAGTCTGGGGGGTGAAGAAGAACAAGTCAATTATATTTAGTATTTACAATAAAAGGAATAATCTAGGGATGAGAGGAGGATATAGTGATACCCAGACACTTGTGTGTGTGTGTTAAGGTTTATATTTGACTACTGCTGAATAAGATAACTTATGGTTTCAATGATTCACAGCTTTCTGCACACAAGGACTTGAGCCTTTGTAACAGTTATCAGTCCTACATTCAGCCAAAACATAGATGTCCTAATAGTGCAGGAGTAAAGAGTGTGGGAAACTTCTGATGGTATTTATGACCATATAAAAAAGCAATTATGTTAAGGGCAGAAAGACTTTCAAACACGCTCATGATGGTGGGAATAGAGTAATCTACTCTGCTGAACTGCTGAACTGCACACATCCCACATACTATACTATTCCTCCTGTGTGACAGAAAGGTACAAAAAAAAAAACATTCCAAAATGATCCTTAAATCTAGATTCTCGGAGACCTGAACCTTTGACAATAAATACATCTGTTAAGCACATTATTTCACAACAAAAATAAGGAATTAAGAACAATTGGGCTCCGTTCATATCTTTGCCAATGACAAAACTTCCATACAAAATACATAAAGCAGAAGGAAGCTACACTTTATTATTAATTGAATGAATTAAGCAGATGTTAATGTATAATGCACTAAAGTCCGTTACAAATAACATTTACTTTTAACATGACCAATCTCAACACTACACTTACCACAACGGAGAGCTCTCCACAGGCCAGCAGCTGCACCAGGCGGGGCACCAGGCCGGCCTGCACCACCACCTCTATCCTCTCGTTGGAGCCGTCAGTCAGGTAGGACACGGCCCAGCAGGTATCGGCCAGGATCTCCCTGTCGTCATGGTGAAGGAGGCGCACCAGGGCCGGGAGTAGCTGCTTCACCGCCGCCAGAGGAGGGGCCGGGTTCTTGTTCCGACACAGGTTGGAGAGCGTCCAGGTGACATTGCGCAAGTACCCAGACTGGTTTGGTGGATTCAGAGCCAAGTGTTATTTTTCAAAATCAAGGTGTCAAAACATGATAGTGATTGTAATAGATACTGACAACAGTTTATTCAAAAGACTTCTTTAAAGAGAGAAACATCTTTATTGTCAGTTGTACAACATTTCTCTCAAGTCCTCTCAAAACAAAATCATAAGGGTCTCAGGAAATGTATCAATCTATTAAACTGGCCAATTTAATGAGTTAATGTAATTTTTTTCACAACTGCTATACTATCAAATCCCTGAAGGACATTTCTAAAAAAGGTCACATGGCAGGCTGATAAGCCTTGTTGACAACAAATGTGCCTCATGTGAACTTAACCTGTTAAGCCCTGAGCCTGTTTTTCAGGTCTCAGGCTCGAAAATGACATTCCCAGAACAAATGACCATATCTTCCCTTCTAAAAGGGTTAAATTAATAATCTTTTTTCTCAAAGTAATGATAAACCTGTGAGTTGGATGTAGAAAAGTCAGAATCAATATAGATGTTTTTTATTTTAAAGAAAATTCAGATTTTACATAGTAAGAAACTGTAAATTAGTGTCCGTCCAAAAATTATTTTTTACTTATAGTGAAAACTACCCTTGGATGATGGTAAGGTAGACTAAAAGCTTTATGAATCCAAAGTACAACATATAATAACTTCAGCAGCGTTTTTATCGTTTTGATGCCATTGAAGACCACTTTGGAGAGACTACAGAGCCAAGGTAAAAATGTTAGCATTTTTAGCTACCTAGCGTCACTTGTTTTGATGTCTGTTTTGTTTAGAACGTCGCAAATTCGTATAATTCAGTGATAATGAGGGTACCCTTCGATTCTGTGTCACCTCACGATGTGAAACGATGTGTTGGATGTGGAGAAAAGATAAATAATAAGGTTTTGTGAGGGATTTTCGGTGCAGTAATCAGTTAGCATTTTTCGCTCGTTGCTAATTCAGAGGCTCAGTGTTAGCATTGTGGGTTTTCTTTTGAAAAATAAATAAAAATGATCAGTTCGATGAGTTTCTTCCCGTTACATGGATATAAAACATTCATAGTTTATTAAATGAACATGCCCTCAGACACTGTTTTCTGCAAGATGTTGCGGCAGTGCCCCGGTACCGGGGCCTCTCGGGCTTAACAGGTTAAAGTTAAGTCTGGTCTGTAAGAACAGGCAATCAAATAATCTTTGCAACTCACAGGAAACACAGACAAGTCAGGAACTGCCAGCAAGGCGAGGAGTGGATTGAGACCGCCATCTTTGATCACTAGGTCTCGGTAGTTGGATCCATCACCTAGGAAAGACATTCACAGTTAAAGGCTATTAACTGGACAATCACAACAGAAGATAAAATCATATCAGCTCAAAATAAAATTACAGTTAGTTACCACATGAGGTATTAGCATAACGACTATCATTTTGTAGAGCATTCTAGATACTATCAACACCTCCAGACTAAACAAAAATAAGCATATATATATACCCAAAAACAGCAACAGATCTCCACATCACATCTATCTAGGCAAGCTGAACATAACCGTGTAGGATGCTGTAATGGAGGGACAGAACTGAAACGCAAAGAGATGTTGAGTGTGGAAAGCATACAATACCTGCAATGTTACCCAGGGCCCAAATGGCCTGCTCGCTGATGTGTGGGTGGGGGGATGCCACCAGGGTGATGAAGGCAGGGATGGCCCCTCCATCCACCACAGCAGTGGTCTGCTCTGAGTTTCCTGAGGCGATGTTGGTCAGGGCCCAGGCTGCCTCGAATTGGATGGGGGGGCATTCAGACAGTGCCAGAAAACTAACAAACCTCGGGATGAGGCCGGCAGTAATGATGTTGTCAATGGGTGGATGCTTTTCTCTTGAGAGGAGCCTCCTGTACATCAAGAGATAATACAGTAATGGTATTCATAAAACGGAAGGTAACTTTAATGAAAGTCAAAGTCAAATGTAGCATTATAAAAATGTATTTAAGTAGAAACTAGATGGATGCGGTAATTCAGTTCAACAGGTTTTAGAAGAAATTGATTTCCAATATAGCTATTAATAATAATCCACTTTATTTATGCAGCTTAAGAGCTTTATAAGGATGAGTTGTAGCACCTTCTGCTAAACACAAACTAAATATGTCAACATGTATTCAAATATTCAAATTAGAACCAAATATAAACAAAGCACAGGTGGTGAAGTTGCTGGACTGTTTGTCAAAAACATGGGAACATGATGGAAGTTTATCTGGAACATCGACAATGATTTACCTGGCTGCCTGCGTGGCCTGCAGCTGATGATCTAGATTCTGGCTGTTAATACCATCTACAATCTCCTCCACAGTCCAGTGCTGAGGAGGCTGTGAGAACAGAAACAGAGGAAGGTTACTTATCTGCAAAGTGAACCAGGTAAAGAATTTTTTTAATATTTTCTTTCAATGTTTTTAATTTGTGTTTCTTATTGTGGGATGTGTACCAAACAAAGATTTATAGGAGAGTAAATCTCTGCAGCACCACACATCTTAATCGAGAGCGTTCTGCGTTTCATAACTAGTTGTCCCCAGCAATATTGTTAACATACTATTCCATATTGCAATTTCGATAACATTTAGGACTCGTTCGGCCCTAATAGACAAGGGAAGTATTTTAAAATGAAGTGGAACAACATTCACATTTGCAAAAAGACACTTTCTCATTGACCTTCGGCCACTTCCTATAGCAGAGCAAGCTTTAATCAACCTTTATGGTTCAATTTAAAATCAGGCGGTTTCTCCAGGTTACGGGTAAGTTGTTGGCATTAAGGCTGTTGCAACTCATTGCCAACTAAATTAAAAAACGTTTCAAACATGGAAAAACGGTTGTATTTATATCAGGTGCGTCATGTTTTCGGTGCCCCGTTAAATAAAATAGTTTGCTATTGTGTGAAAGGAGCAGCCGTAGAGCTGGCCGAAAGCAGCTTCTGTACCTGTGCATTGGGGTCTGACTCATGGAGAGGAGAGGTGGGCTCGTCCAGGAGGGTCTGGACGTTTCTCCTCTTCAGGATCTGATCATCCTTCTTCGCTTTACGCAGCTCCACGTTGACTTCTGCTCTCCTGCGCCTTAGATCCTGAAGAGGCCGATATAACGATATACAGATATAATAAGTTGGACGGAATTTCATTTACCATTAGCTACCTCAATTATGTTACAATGCTGAATGTTTCTTGAAGAACTTACATTCACATCTTTCCCTTTGTTTTTGAACTGGGTGAGCCGATCTCCGTTGTCGTTGCCAGCTGACATTCCTGAACGTTAAACAAGACCTTCGATTCCAACGATTAGACACTCCCTGTTGAAAAATATATAATGGACGTTAAAAACTAAACGGTCTTTACAACGGCTGATTTCCCAAACTCCCCCTCGTTCACTTCGTCAAAGCTAGCTCGTAGGAGGTAAATGAGCTAACGCTAGCACCCGCTCGTATTGAAGCCAAGCCGGTTATCTAACACCATGTGGCCCGTAGCAGCCTGTCCGCTAATCCAACAGCCAAAACCCCGCTGTTTTTTCTAAAACCACGGTAAGCAAAATAGAAAACTCGAAACTAAGGATGGAATTATACATTTATTTGAAATGTAGATTTAGCCACAAAGCATGTGCGACTTGCTTACCTTACAGAGATGGTGTAGCTTCTTTTTCTTTCTTTTTTTTCTTTTTTTTTTACAAAAGACCTGACGTCATTTATATACCTCCCTGTTTTTTCCGAGTTCTGATTGGTGAATTGGACCACATGCCCCGCCTCATCGCCCACGCTTAAAAAAACGCTTCAAACAACAAAGCCGTTGTCAAAGGCAACCGCTGTTAGTATCGCGAGATACTATTTTATACTGGTTTTCATTGTGTATCATTACGGCCATGTATACAATATATACCGTGGGTAACATTTTCCTTCCATAAAAATGTTTTTGTTCGTATCCTTGATGCTTCACCATACGTACAGTACGAGCGATTGTCTTGATACGGCATTTTTAAAATTGTTGTTTTCCACATTCAGCCACGTAATGACCCAGTGGCCTAATGGATAAGGCATCAGCCTCCGGAGCTGGGGATTGTGGGTTCGAGTCCCATCTGGGTCGTGTTTAACTCCTTTTCAGGGCTTAAGTGTGTCCAAAGTGGAATTTCTCAATGTATTGGATCATTTAATATAAAACTGTCTTGGTTAATACTGCTGTCATCAATTGGTCCAATACCACACCAACTCACATACACAGTCTTTTAAAGATTCTAGCCTGGTGATTATTCACACACCATTGATAAATGCTATTAACGGTCAAATTTAAGTCGAGCAGTATGGTTTTCTAGATTATGATCTTCACCTCAAAGATCAATGACATTGACCCTAATTCTGCAAATATAAACATCCACAAAAGTGCAATTTTAACTGTACATAGCCTACTGTTGCTGAAATACATTAAATCTTAGGGCATCAGACTATAAAGCCTGAAGCATCCATTATTATATTCACAAAGACACAAGGTCTAAAACTAAACTACACAAACTCAAGGTTCAAGGTTCTTTATTGTCAATCTGACATAGTTACAGAGTAATTATGTAGTTGAAAATCTTATGTCACAGGCTTCTCCAACAATGCAACATAATAACATAATAACAATAAGAGCATGAGCAATACAAAAATAATAATAGTTATAAAATGAAATAAAGTTATGATGTGGAATAGTGCAATAGAGTCTATATACAAGTTATTGGAATGATATATATATATTAGGTATTAGATACATACTACTGAGTAGCAGATGAATGTTTGATGTTGTTTCAACAGTTCAATTTTTTAACAGTCTCACTGCCCGCGGGAAGAAACTGTCTCCGAATCTTCTTGTCCTTGCCAGGATGCTGCGGTAACGTCTGCCAGACGGCAACAGAAAGAACAGTTTGTGGCTGGGGTGATGGGGGTCTTTGATAATCCGTAGTGATTTCTTCCTGAGCCGCTGGGAGTAAAGGTCCTAACCTGTTCGTTGCATGTGCATGTGTTACTTTGCACCCCTTCATATCATTTCCCGTAGTATTTTTTTGTCTTATTGTGTACTTAAAGATAAGACATGCTGAAATGTGTACAGCTTGAACATGATACAATTTAAGTGGAAAAAATAAATGTTCTGTAGATACAGTAGTAGAAACAAATGAGCATAGTAAGCACTAAGCAGTAAAAGAGAAACAGAATTGCTTGCATGTTTCCAGGGTTCTCAGAGGACATAGCTGTGAGGGTGAAAGGCTAAAAGCTTTTTATTTTGAGAGTATTTACCAGAAGTACAGGTGGGCCATAATTGCTGCATTAACTCTAGTTTGATACAGTTATAGTTTAGGACGGTATACTTTAATTTCTTTGACCTTTTTTCTAATTATAAATTATGACTTCTAAAGAGCAATATACATGCAATTTAAGCCTATTTGAGTTCTTATCAGATTGTTTTAGTTTGGTGTACTATATTTAGAAAGTAAATTCCCAATTATGCTAATGCTTGATGTGCTGCAGTCCCTCTCTGTGAGCACCAGAGAGCAGTGAAGACTCATTGATATGAAATGCACTCAGGTACACCTCCACCACGTTGCATCAAGGCTGGCTAATGTTAAAGAAGTTGCTATGACGGGTCGTGAATAACTACATATTTAATGCTAGCCACCAAAATGCCATAAATATAGACGATTTTAAACAACCTGTTGAACACCAGATATCAAGAGGTGAACCTAGTTATCTTTTATATATAAATAAACTTGGTAAACAACTAATCTAGGTCACAATTCCCCTCTTATAGTATAAACAACTATTTGCACCTTTTTCAAATCCATTTATGAATGAAAGGAGTGTCATGTCGAAGTGTTTACTTCTGTGCTAGGGACGTCCCACCTCCATCTCCCTTTGCACCCCATCCCATCTCATTCCTGAGCAGCCGTATAAAGCCCCAGGACTCCCTCTCTGCTGCAGAGCTGAACGTGTGTCCACTGAACATCCACAATGACAGGCAGGATTATTCTGTTTCTCTTGTTCCTGGGGTTTCCTCTTTACAAGACAGAGGAGCATGATGTCAATGGTGAGTGTACTTTTATTTCATTGTTTTTGTATTAGTTTTACATTTTTACTTATTCAGGGAAACATGATTTTCATCTGCCTACACACCATCAATGGTTGCCTTAGATGCTGCCTTCTTTTAAAATTATAGCTAATAGTCTTAAACATTTCACAGCAGCATGCTAATTGTTTACTGTTCAAAATTGTGGAAATGTGTGGCTTGAGATCTAACATACAATGTCCATTACATCATTTGTCAACAAAAAAACTAGGAAAAGCAGAAATAATCCCAGGCAAATTTGTCTGCATAATTAGGAGGAAATATTACATCTCAAAACATCATATATTTATATAAAATGCTAAGTGAGTAATAGTTTCATAACTTTGATAGATTGTGGACTTTTTGGTATTTGGTTCATTTAAAAAAGAAAACATTCAAATCTGAGCTGTACATTTTTATCAATTTATAAAGACATTTACACCCTACCAACCCTTTAAAAACCTCAATGAGTGTTATTCTGTGGAGCAAAATGTTAAGTTCTTACAATGAAAGCAACTGATAAACATGATAAAGTACTAACATAAATATGTGTATGTATTAATCAAGCTTAGGAAAGACCCTAAACCATTAAATATTCAAAGTTTCAAGGAACAGTTTTGCAAATGAAATGAATCCATATTGTTGGAGGTTACTGTAGGAGCACAGTGGCTTTTATATATATCATTATCATAAAGCAACTTGAATGACATTTCTAACTGAACGTTCTGTTTGTGTCGACCCAGAGCTGTACACCCTGATAGAAAAAGGTCAGACCAGCTTTGTGGATCCGGCTCAGATCAACCAGACCCGGATGTTGGTCAAAGAGCCCTCCCTGCCCATCAATGAGCTTCTAGAGAAGAGCAGCAAAACCAGCGAGTCCAAATTCACCCTCCATCCTCTTCCCTCTGCTGTGTGGCCAAAGTACACTGACCTCGCTCCCATCCCCCGCCACCACGGCCCCCACAACAAGAGCAAAAAGGGCCCAAAGAGCGACCGTCTGGTGGAGCACAACAGTGAGAAAACCAGAGGAGAAGTTTCTGGTCTGCTTCCCAAAACCCAGCTGACACGAGCTGCTGCTGCTGCTGCTGCTGCCACAAACCGCACTGTACAGAAAACCTCCCAGGACTCCCAGTCCAACACCAACCCTCCCCAGCAGAGCGAAACAGAGGGAAACCCCAACACCAGGCCCAGGGGTCCACCTCACACACCACCCCAGGTTCAGCCGCACCAACCGGCCCCTTCTCCACGCAGAGATCCCCCCAATAGACGGCTGGACCAAGAGGAGAACCGGCCAGGGAAGTCCAGCCTCTACCAGTCCGGTATCGGTGCATCAGCCCGGAACAACAGCCGCCCACCTGTCGCCTTCAACCGGCGCTCCTCCTCCAGCCTGCTCTACCATTTTGACATCCTGAGGCGAGGTAAGGGAGGATTTAAGGCTGACCTCTTCAAGTCAATTAATCGCTCATGTCTTGACTTGGATACCTTATACCTTAAGTCAAGTCTTGTTGTGCTTTATTCATCCTTTAGCTGACTTATTTACAAAAACCTTTGAGCCCATCTCTGGTGAACACAAGATTTAAAGTGGTGCTTTTGCATGATTCGTTATGGAGGAACTCAGTTTTACACATCTGTCGATTAAATCGAATAATCGATTAGTCTACAAAATCGTTTGAGTGTTAGTTGACCAATAATCTATTTTTGCCTAAGCTGTATTATTTTTAAACTCACCTTTTAGGGTGGCCTAGTTCTAATGATTGAAATTATTCAAGAGTTTATCCTTCTGGAAAAAATCTTTGATGGTCAATGTCATAGTATCTAAAACCAGAAATAACTATGACTCGTACCTAGAAAAGTGTTTTAGTATTAGTCACTGAAGGTAAACAGTTCCATTTTGATTTGTTCTAATGCAATATGTATTTCCAGCAAAGTTAATAGACGATTACAAAGAGGGCAAAGTACTGCTACAAAATACCCGAAAAATATATGATAAATATATACATTTGTTTTAACTTCAGTGGAAATAAGTCAGTCATAGTGATATTGTATACACTAACACGTAGAGGTCATAGAGTTCACTCACAGTGTGATAATGACAGTGATGTTTTTTACCCTTCCACACCCCGACCACTAATTACAACCACCTTCGTCACATCTGGCTGTCAGTGTTTCCCTTTGTGTGCAGCGAGGTTGTAATGAAAACTGATGTAAAGCAACTGAGAAGGCCCCTGATGTTGTAATTAAAATGGAAAATGCCACACGGATGTAATCCCATCACACACACCGCCTCCTGCAGTCCCATGCGCAGGAATGCGACGCCTGGGTTTTATAATGACAACCTTGTCCTTTTCTAATGACGCTGGAATGAGAGTCTGGCTCCATACAGGCATGGCAGCAGACAGTCCCTCTTTCTTTTCCTCATCCCTCCATCCTGTCCTCTGCTTGTCTTCCTCTCCACAGAGTCTGACTTCCCACATGATGCCTTCTGCATGAGCGAGTGCAGGAAGGAGAAGGACGAGAGAGAGTATTACTGCTACAGTGAGTTTGGTATGTACCCAGCGAGACACAAAGATAGTCAAAGGTTAAAAAAAACATAGGAATAGCCTAAGAAGTATTGATCAAAATAAAGTTCAATGTTTTTGGAATTTATTGGTACGTACTTATACAATTTGGTCAAATAATACGTTTCAAGTCATTGCACATCAGTCCCAAGTCTTAAACTTTAAGTGTCAAGTTCTCAACAAGTCATAACTCGCTCTTCATCCATTCAACCATTTTTTTGTCTTTGGAAATGGTGGAAAGTATAAAGTATGTAAGTGAAAAGGCTCAAGTCTAAGTGAAGGCACGATTCATAAGTGTTATCGAAATCTTTTTGTGGAGTCTAAATTCATCAAATGTGTGACTCGGGTCTGACTTGAGTCCAAGTCTTGTGACTTGAGTCCACACCTCTGCTTTCTACTGCTTACACATGTAAGTTTGATACTGTATATAGCTGTAGCAGCTACACTTTTTGAGACTATAAGAAACTGTTTAAAGGAACAGTTTGACATTTTGGGCTAGCGATTGTGAAGGTTGGTCACCCTAAATCATGTACAATAAACAAAAATCAACTAACACGTTAAATCTTGTTAGTATATATGAATTGTACAGATCCACAGAGCCAAGCTATTTGTCTCTGCTTGTTTCCTGTTTTCCTGCTAGACTGACCTAAAATAACCAGCTCCTGGCTGTAGTTAGAAACACATGAAATATTTATCTCACTTGGGGCAGGTAGGCTTATTAGTGTATTAGCCTCAATGTGAAACTTTCTTTACAAAAGAAACATATCATGTGTAGGTATTAACATTTTGATGTATTTTTGTTTTTTTTCATGTCCCTTTAACAGCTGTGAATGGGATAGTTCACGACATCGATGTGTTGCGTAAAGGAGTACGCCTCGTAACACTGATGGTGGGCAGTGATGGCTTCTACAAAATGAATCGTCTCTATGTGACGCCAGACAGCTTCTTCTTCAAAGTCCGCCTTCTGGTCCTGGACACTTATAAGTGCAGCAAGCCCTGCCCTGACATCAAACTAGGTGAGTGTAGCAGGACAACTCTAAATCCTCATGAAACAAAAGGATCGGATGAGATATATACAAGCTGTAGAAGTGTACCTATTAACTATACGAAGTGGCTGTTATTCCTTTCAGTGGTTTATCAAAGAATATAAAATGTCCTTTGAACGAAACTCTGAAAATGATGGGACATATGTACAAGAGTCAAGACAAATACATTCAATAACAAGGTCCATACAAATATTCTCATATTGGGACTCGAACATTCTGTTTCCCTGAGATCAGACAAAGACATCCAGTGTTTTAGTGCACTCTTGAAAATTGATCTCTGCTCAACTGTACTCTTTCTCCGTGTCATTTCAACATTGTCCCCCTGATTGTTCCCCAGGGACCCGGTACATCATAATGGGCCAGATCTACCACCGGAGGCGCCATCTTCCCAGTGACCTCCTGAACTTACTGGGCAGTAAACTGAAGCCTGGAGACGGCCTCCTGCGAAGCAACAACTACATCAAGAGGTTCAACAAACGGAAGCACCAGAAAGCTCTGGAGGCCAGCCGCTCCAAGTGTAGGTGAACCAGCGATGGGACTGTGGCCCCCTGCTGCAGGGGAAGAGACAATGCAGCTGACCTGAACTGACCATAACCCACCCCTCAGTATTGTGCAAGACAGAAGAAGACATTTTGCGGAAGGCATGGATTTATCTTCATAGGGAATTGTTCATCTTTTTGAATGCTCTGTTCCTTGGTGTTTTTGATTAACACGTGTTTAACAAGTCAACACGTGTTTAACAAGTCAACACGTGTTTAACAAATCAATACGTGTTCTGGGAGATACACAGATCCAGCCTCTGTATTCTCTTCATAGCACATACAAAAATGCATTTGTCCAAATCCATATCTAACAATTGAAAACCCAGAGAGCTGTTACATGATCCTGAACAGAAAAGTATTTCACATAACAAACAGATTGGCTTTCCAAAATAATGGCAGTAGCTGAGAACATACTAATTAAAATGTTGTATTTGTAAATCACATTGTACAAATACAACATTTTAATCATGTTGATTCCTTTGAGAAATCAATGAGACTTCTACAGTTCTTATCATTGGACATTTCGTATTGCACCGAATAGTATTGTTTTCTATCACTCAATCCCTTGCATGTTATCACTGTGGTTGTTATTGTTAAGCAGGAAATGCACTATTATTGTTATACGGACCAAAGCGAGGGGATGAAGGGCCTAAGACAAGCAGCGGCAACTCCCAGAGGAGGAGAAGGAGGAGGAGGGAGAGAGAGAACACAGGACCTTTGCTTGTCATGAGAGCGGCTTATTTTTCTTACTTTAATGATGTGTCCACGATGAAATATCTGCCTGAGTAGCCTGGGACATCAAAAGGGGCCTTGCTGAATGAGGAGGGGTGTGTGGTTGTAGGGACTAAGCCATAAATCTAATCGCAGGAATCTGATCCTCTCCGCACCTGGACACATGACTTGGAAAAGTGCCTCCTTCACAGCTCCTCTTTGGGGTGGCTTTTGTGTTCTTGCTTACACACAAACACGACCTCCTCTGGGAGGGCCAAAGCTCAAAAAGGGGGTATTTCAAGTATTTGGGAAGAATCAGAGAAAGAGAGAGACGAGGGGGGGGAAGGCGGAGGAGAAAAAGATGGTAGTGTAAAATGACAAAGTGAAAGGATGTTGACTTTCTGAAGGGATAGCTTCTTATTTAATCAGAAAACCCTGGCTTGATTGTAGTACGCCATGAAAGGGGAAACTTGCACTGAACGCTTATATGGCTTTATTATACTTAAACCCAATAAAAATGTGTATTTGTTTTGTATTCAACGACCCTGTGAGGATTTTATTTGTCTTTAAATCAACCCACTCTCATCACATACATCTGCCCACTGACCTACACATTGATCCTCATTCCCAGTGATTGCATGGGAAGTAGCCCCTCAAAAGTAAGACACTCTAATTGGAGTTTAACAACCATGGTCTCTGTCTGGCCTCCGGGAAGAGAGACGCACTTGGGAACTTGGACATGGAGGCAGGCAGGGCTAAGCCTCTTTTCTCCCCCTCTGTACGTCTGTCAGCTCGGCCTGGCGTTCCCAGGCTCGAGGAAGCCTCTATCTGGGATCAGCGCTGGAGGGAACAGATGCAGGCGGGCAGGAAACAGGAGCCTGCTCCACATCTTGGCTACTATCGCAGCGGGAGGACATTCCTCATCGCAGAGGATGTAAAGGAGGGAGGAGGGAGAGAAGAGAGAGGGAGGTGGGAATATCTCTAAGTGGCTTCCTGTGTGATAGCCCCCAAGCCACAAGGGGGGAGTGATGGAAAGAGGCGAGGCTGGTGGATTGAAACCACTCGGGGCTTGTGGCCATCTGCGGTGCTCGCAGCGTCCACGAGACTCTGGATCCATTTAGCGGTTTGAGTGGGGAGTAAAGAGGGGGGGGGGTGTTGGAGCAGAGTGAAAGGTCAACCTGGGAGGGGGCTTTTAAGTGTCATGACGGTAATTTGATCACAGGATGAGTTTGTATGAGTGCGTTGGAGGTCATGACCTTATCTTTGTACAAACACTTTTCTGTCAAAGCTCTAGATAAGTGAAAAAGTGAAAAAGGGATGGAATGACCGTGTATGGATCAACTCACTAAGGGCCCCCCGGGGGGAAAGTGTCCTAACTGAACCCCCCGTTTCTCCCATTTTGAATGTAACAGTCATTTGTTTGTCGTTACGTGATTAAGTATGTATATTTAACAAAGCCTTGAAACTATATTTGAACTCAGGAGTTTGCCTTTTATATGCTTCCTCCAGGGCAAATTAAAAGTAATATTTTGGGGTACTTTAGTTTGTTTATAAAAGACAGTTGTAGAGTTGAGAAGAAACAATAGCGACAGAGACAAAAGTGGACGGCTTGACTAGAATTATGCAATTTCCTATTTATGTTTTGATGTCGGTTATATCCATAGTCATAAAGCAAGAAATAACAGTTTGTAATAATACAGAAACACACTTGAATAGGCCGGTATGACAAGTTAAGACTGCTCTAAAGTGTAATTGTGATGAGAAGAGACAATGAAAGAAAAACACAAATCTTTTGAAAGCCGGTGTCAAAAACATTACTTTATTATCTAGGATGAAATGTCCTATCAAGTACAAAAGAGAATCTCTTCAGAGTAGCCACAATCAGTTAAAAACATAGAGTACTTTTTATCTGCCGTTACATTTCCTCAACATTACTAAAAAAAAACGGAGAACTTTTCATTGATATGAATAAATAATACAAGAAATGCAATGTCAATATAGAAGTTATGTTGAACTGGTTGTTTTCTTACAAAAAGAAGAAAAACTCTGTACAAGAGTTAACTGTCACTTTGCCCCGTTCAAAACCTTTATGCTCACAATATGCAGCAATTTTAATATAGGGGGGAATCTCACTAAAATGTAGATTAGAGAGAACAAATATACAGGCGGGCTTAGTTGCTGGTTCAAAGAGTGAAAAATAAAAGTTTCTACTGCTCTAGAAATCCGTCATCTCTACATATTTGAACAACCATAATATACAAGAGATCACAAACAGTGGATGAAACACATCTTCATAAGATTACAAAGAGACGGACATTTGTGTAAAAAGACACAAACAGTAAAGGAGACAGAAGCAACATTATCTCTCAACTCTGCAAAAAACTGATTGAATCTGAAATGCACTTAATTTTATACTGTTTTCAACAACTTAAACACAAGTGTGTCTTGTGACTGCTCCCCTCCTACAAAACTGATAATCACAGATTACAAAAATGTTCCCAAATATGATAAAAATGCAGCTATAAAATGTTCATACAAACCCCACGGTACAAAGACTCCCCAGTCTCCACTCAAAGTTTACTCCCAGACATGCTGCCGCAGACCGCAACATAACTGAGTTGATGCTGAGTGGAAAAGTCCATTATCCAATTACTTAACCATGCTTTGAGGGCGAGTTGAGAGACATATGTGAGCCAACCTGTCAACTTCAATGAAATATGTTGGAAGAAGTGGCCGATAGATAAGGGGAGAGAGACTGCCATTGACAAACAGAGCTTTTGGAGGCAGGGACAAGTGGGTTAGTTAAGTCTTGTTCATGTTTGACCTTCCCTGAAGCCCCAACATTCTCCTCTCTTCATGTCATTGACTTCCTTCATAAGGGTCACGTTTAATGGAGCATAGAGCTAGTTAACATTCTTCACTTGCTTTAAAGAAGAACACAAAATGGTAAAAGGTCGCAGGATGTGGTGGGATGAGATGGCCTGTTCTGGTTGTTACCCTCTGAATATTAACATGGCAGCCCTCAGACGAAGCGAAGACCCCTTAATTAACTCCAGGAAGTGCCGTCGACTGCCGCCTGTATGTGTTGATGCTAATCCAACAGAAAATGTCACGTTGACAATTTTTTTTTATATATCTAACTTCGGTTACAAATGGGGTTTCATGCAGAGCTTCACAACGGAGGATAGCCAATATAACTGGGTGTAGGTGGAAGGAAACGGTGCACCTGAGATTTGCTGCACAACGAGCATTCGAAAACTAAGACTGCATTAGAGGGCCATTGTAGTCAAACGGAAAATGTATTACGGAGCTGGGGGAGGAGAGTAAAGTCTAAAATTAACGAGACATCACATTTTTTTTAGTTACTACATTGCGTCACTGTGCAAGGTTGGATAAACCTTATTACACCTCGGATGCTTCGGTAAACCGGAAATGCCTCATACACACGTTGGTGAGGAGGTGCAACAGCATTGAACATCTAACAAGGGCTCTAAAACGCCATTATGAAAACCCTTGTAAAAACTGATTTGGTTATTTTTTTCTCCAGTGGGGTATCAAGTGTGACAACCAATAAAATGCTGCTTTCGACCATAAAGAGGTGTTAATTCTGAGAAGAATGAACTCCGAGGTACTGTACATGAGGGTGAAGCATAAACTGGGGATTTTCATTTTGACCTTATGAACATTTCCACTTGAGGCAGGGACTAGGCTTCAATGGGATTTCACACAATGAAACACATCATTGAAAGTGTGACAGGATAAAATAAAAGTAGCATCTCTAGGAGGAAAGATCCACGCTGACACTTTGCTTTATAGGATACGTACAAATAGTGATCAGCTACAGAAGTAGAGTCTGCTGCTGCCGGATGTGCCCCTGAACATCCCACCAGCCCACACGTCAGCGGTATCTGCGTTCCCCATCTGGAGTTTGGGATGCTCTGGTAGGAGTGGCTGGTTGGGATGAAGCGGGCGGACACCGTCCCCCCTCGTCTGAAGGTGGTTCTTCTCTGCCATTTTGTCCCAATGGATGAAAAAGGGGCTTCTCTCTCCTCTTAGTGGAGGTGTTGGAGGTTTGGGCGCTATGACACCAGTGCGAGCAGATTTTCCACAGGGAGCGTGCTCTCCTCCAGAGAGGGCTCCGGTTCAGATGCAGCCCGACTTCGACCAACGGGCTTAATCATTACGAGGAAACCACAAGGCTTGTCTTTTTTGACACTTGAATTTTAGGAGAGAGCTAAGAAGCTGCTGATTGTAGTTTGTTGTTATGAGACCTACAGAGACAGGCAAAGAGAGGAGGAAGAACACTGTTGGAAAACGTATTGGTGTTTCCTTTTTTTTTTTATTATTAAAAGCTTTACAATATGACAAAAATATGCACTAGGGGAAATACAAAAAAACTAAAACAAACAAAACATGAATAGGATGCCAGTGGGTCAAACACTTTGACATGGACCAAGCAGCCATGTTGGTGAAATGTTATCGAAGTGTTTGTGATGTCGGCTCAACAGTGTATGAACAAGGACTTTTTTTTTGAACTGGAGACCGTCAAGCTTGCCATATTTTGAACAGGGAAGCTAAACCTCATTTTTCTCGAATCTATCTTTACAGATCCTACCACTATTTCCTTTAGAACATAAGAATAGTCCTTCACAAAAAGATATAATATGCACATAAAATAACATTATACACAGCCAATAAAATAACCTATTAACTGTTGCATGTTTTTTAAAATTCTCGGCTAAGAAATGAGGTAAAAGTGTTCTGCTGCAGCGTGTTATGACCAATACTATAAACAGTCCTGTCAAATTAAAAGATAAGTTATCTGTGTGTGGAACTGACGTCACAATCAAAATCAATAGCTTTGTGTTTTTTTCAAAACTGAATCTCAAGAAAGAGAATGACAAACTTCATATTTTGTCTTATATCCCACTCAAACATAAACAAAATACCGCTCATCTGTTGCAAGAATTGTAAGAAAATAAATGTTCCCTTGAATGCTTTATGTTACCAACATGGCTGCCATTATTAGACAGTAGACACTTTTTTTTATTTATTTTTTCTTCTAAAAATTAAAAAAAGGATCACATCTACAGTCGATATATCCGTTTCTTACAAAGATTTGAACGCTGTTTTAAACAAATAAAAACAGCAATGTCCGGGATAACAAATTATTGTTTTGTTTGTTTTAAGAGTGACCCCGGCACCCAGGAGTTTGACATCACAATCTGCAAGAGAGAGAGAGAGAGAGAGAGAGAGAGAGAGAGAGAGGGAATGGATGGTGTAAATACAGGCGGGTGAAGCACAGCACATCACCAGATAAGGCACACAGATGGATGCAAACCACAACAATTGACCTTATCAGAGTGTTAACTATTTTAAAGAACAGCAAGGCATATTAATGAAACGTTTTGTATGTAAATATAAATAAACCTTATGCTAAAAACTTGCAGTGTGCATCCACCTACAGCAATCACATCACACCGTGAGGGCAGTGGAGAAAGTTCACATTTGATGATGAAAGCTGAAGCAGATATGTTTTT